CTGAGATTAGACCAGGAGTCCTCTGGCTATGCTGCTCAGGAGCAATTTCACCGCCCTCCTGAGAGTTTTTCTTGGAAGCTCAGTGTTTGAAGTTCACGCAGTTTACATATGATAAGTGCTGAAGCACTGCAAAACACATAGGAATTTTCCCATCCTAACGGTGAGAGAGCAAACACGACCCCCCAAGGCCGTGGAGACTGGCCCAGTAACAGACCTCCTTTGATGAACGTAGAAACATAAAAGGAGGGCGGGGGGCTACACCTGCACTGGCCTCCCAGGGACAGCTGTCTGCTCTTCTTCCCAGCATCCAGGGAGCGCACTGCCCCCTCCTCAAGCCTCTACATTAACAAGGAAGTCTGTTAATCCTAGTGAGCCAAGTGGCAGGAGCCTGTTAAGGATTAGTGAGCGGAGTGCTACTCTCCTTAAAGAACAACGGGAGGGAGGGTTGTTACTACAGAAAGAGTAGGGGATTTACCCAAGCAGGAGAGACCTGGCAAGGCCTGATTGTCTGAGGCCCTCAAACCCACATGGAGAACTAACTTTAGACTGTAGGTGGTAAGAGGGCATTAGAAGTCTTTAAGACGTGGAGCATCAAGGGCTGGGGGTGTAGCTCAGTTGGAAGTGTTGCCTGGTATGCACAAAGCTTGGGGTTTGATCCCAGCACATACACCAAACCAGGTATAATGGTGCAGAGAGGAGTCATCCTCTCTCTGCCACATAGCAAGTTCAAAGCAAACCCAGAATACGTGAGACCCTATCTCAAAAACAGAAGAAAAAGAGGAGGAAGAGGAGGAAAAGAGCAAAAAAGAAGTAGGCTGGGGCTGGAGAGATGGCTCAGTGGTTCAAAACAGGGGCTGCTCTTTCATGAGAACCTGGGTTCTGTGCGTTCCAGGCCATCTGGGGCTTCAGGGAGACCCTGTCTCAAAAAGACCAATAAATAAATAAATAATAAATAAAAAGAGAACCTGGGTTCAGTTTCCAGCACCCACATGATGGCTAACAAAGGCTAACAAGAATCCTCAACTCCAATTCCAGCGGGATCCAACACCCTCTTCTGGCCTCCATGGGCATTTCATGACATAGTGCAGTTACACACATGCAGGCAAAATGGTCATGCACATAAAATATAAAGTTTTTTTAAAGTAGGCCTTCCATTGATCAATGCTTTAGAAATAGCTCTAAGGGTATTGTGGAAAAGAACCTGAAGTAGGAGGAATTTGAGCCATTACAATAGAAAAAGAAAGATGTCAAACTCTTTCTTTAGAAAGTTACAGGTTCCATTTCACCCTTTTATGGTGCCATGCAGTTGTTCTGCCAGGGGGCAGCTCTTTAGGAACCTTCTGTGCTATCAGACTAAGGAGGAGGAAGGGAGTCCCTCTCAGATATGGTTGCACGGGCATTCAGAGTGAGGCGCCACCAGCCACAGAGTCTACCTCTGAACTATCTCTAATCACACTGCTCCACCACCGCTACCATTTGTAACTCATTTCAGTGCTTCTCAGCATCTCAAGGTCATGGTGTTTCGGGGGCTTCTTCAAACCGACATCCACACTGAGGTCTATCGCCTACTCGATTTGACCTTTCTGTACTTACAGACCAGGGAGAGGTGACCTATCAATATGTTTGTCTCTTCCCTCCTCTCCTTGGCAGCAGGCGGTGTACAAATCACATGAATATCTGCCCACAGATCCAAGGCAGCAGTGTTTACAGAGGATGAACTACTGCAGTAGGATATGAACTAAACAGCGAGAGCTTAACAAGTGAGAACGTGCAGAGCCAAGCTATGCACCTGCCGGGGCATCTCTTCATGAATTTAGGGCATATAATTTTTCTACTAAGGTCATGAATAACATAAAATATGTTCAATGAAAAGTCATACAACACTGATATCAACGAAGACTGGAAGGGTTAAGGATGCTCAGTTGGTACAGTGCCTGCCTTCCATGTGTGAGGCCGTATGTTCATTCCCTAGCAGTGCATAAACCAGGCATGGTAGCACATACCTGTAATCTTAACACTTAGGAGTAGAGGCATGAGGATCAGAAATTCAAGGGCATCCTTGACTATAAAAGGAGTTAAAGACAAGCCTGGAACACATGAGACCATGAAATAATAATAATAATAATAATAATAATAACAACAATAATAATAATAGGGCTGGAGAGATGGCTCAGCAGTTAAGAGCACTGGCTGCTCTTGCAGAGCACCTGGGTTCAGTTCCCAACATCCACATGGTAGCTAACAACCATTCGTAACTCCAGTTCCAGGGGATCCGATTCCCTCTTCTGACTTCCCTTGGCATTGCACAACACAGGTGCACATGCAGGCAATACATTCATACGCATGAAATAAAAATAATAATTTTTTTAATAATAATAATAAAACCAACCTAAAACACAAATGGGGGGCTAAAGGGGTATATATTGCCACTCTGCCAACTTCAAGAAAACATATTCCAGAACAAGGCTCAGGATATAGTTCAGTGAGAAGAGCATTTGCTGGGGGAGGGGGTGGAGGAAGGAAACAGAAGGGAAGATTTGGGGGCCATATCCCCCCAACATACCAACAAACTTCTAATCTGTAGTAACTAGTACAAACACAGCTCTAACTCAGCCTTGAGTTAAGGCTTAGCTAAGATAGCTGTGGTATTACCAGATTTTGAATGTTTGGTTGGTCTTAAGTGACTATTGATGAAATCAATAAACCATACTTATAAAGTTTGATGACCTTGTATTGCTCTGTAAGCTCTCTGTGGCCAGGACCTCGACTACTGATATTAAAGAAGTAGGTGAAGAACCCAGGCAGTTTGGCCCCAGATCCATCCTGTTTAGATTGATATCTAGTCTGGACCACTTATAAGCTACTTATTCTTGGTCAGGTTGCTTAAACTCTTTAAGTTCCTCTCATATATAATGTGATCATAATAGAACCTCATAAGGCTTTTGTGAAAATTAAATGAACTGCAAAAGTACTCATGCATTCCTTAGCAAATAAACGGTAAATCCGTATAACCTCTTAACTTTAGTCCCCTGGCACAGAGAGGTGCTCAGTCTATTTGTGGTGAATGAGGGGTAAATAACCACAGAGGAATGAAGCATTCTTTCATGACTCCCAGTCCTCTGGGTCTCAGGTGATCATATAACTCAATAGACCAGAGAGAGTTCTGGTATTTGAAGACCTAGAGAAGAAAGGTATGATCAGAGGTTCAACCCCTCATCAAAAGGGGAGCCATCGTCACAGTGTGAGTGGTCTGCGGTGTGATACCTTGAATGTATAACCAAATTTTTCCAGAAGCTCATCAATTAAAACCTTGTGCAGCCTCAGGAAGTGAGCTTGTAAATGGCAGAATAAAAGCCCCACTGCATTCCAGGTGGTGTTTTCGTTATAAACTGAAGAGGGAAAAGGCATGTCAGAGGCACTGCCTGGTCAGCCGTGAGTTGGCATTACTTGCTGGCATGTTCCCAGCCGCCCCAGCTATGGAACCACAGAAAGGAGGGAAATAAGCAGCCACCATGGTGGGGCATCTTTCTTCCTTTGAGCCTGAACTCTGACAGAGGTAGAGAGAAGACTGGCCTGGCCTGTGGTTCTGTGTCACCTCCGAAGCCTCATCCGCCACAGTCTGGCTCTTAGCAGTCACTTTAGTTGAAGATAAAATGACTATATAATCTTAGATTAGACATAATTAACACCTACTTATCTTGAATGATGAAAAAAGCTTGGTTGACTTCAGAATGTTTTCAGTTACTATAGGATATTCTTTTCATTTCTTTTTTTAATATTTTATTATTTCATGTGTATGAGTGTATTGCCTACACGTATGTGAGTGCACCCGTGTCATGCAATGCCGTGGAGGTCAGAAGAGGGCTTCAGATTCCCCTGGAACTGGAGTTAAGGATGGTTTGTAGCACCATGTGGGTGCTGGGAATCGAACCCGGGTCCTCTGCACAAGCAGTCAGTGCTCTTAACTGCTGAGCCATCTCTCCAGCCCCTCTTTTCATTTCTTTAACCAGTATACTAAGGGACACTTTTAATGACTTAAGAAATTTTCCTTGACTCATTTATGTTCATTGATAAGTAACATTCTAATTACCCCAGCTTTCTAGAACAGTGTTACACTGATCCATACATGAACCAAGGGAGTAGATGTCTCTTGCTTTATTATTTTATTTTATTCGTTATACTAGGTCTCATGTAGCCCAGGCTGGTCTTGAACTTGCTATGTAAGTTCCAAGGCTCCTCCTCCACCTTCTAAGTGCCATGGTTACAAAT